CAAACTCAGGTGAACACGATTCAGAGGGGTGAATAGCATTCCATCAACTTCAAAATTGAGACCAAAGAATGCTTTGTGCTAATTGGCAATCTATTCCCCGCTATTCAAAATACAAGAAGTTCCCTTTTGTAAAACAGAAGACAGCATGGTATAATTTCAGAGGCTTGAGCCTAGGTCATGCTGAAGATTATTTTTTTCCATCAGAAAAAAAGTCAGATGCCACCTTCCATGTTGCATATATAGATTTTCTTTAACTCTTGAGGATTTAATATCTATAGTCTAAATCGGCTTTTATACAGAGCAACAATTTGGTTCTACCTGCTTTTCCATCCGTTTTAGGATCCATGATGACAAACTCTGGCCGCAACTTGCTGATACGACGTCCTTTTAAGATAGGCACCAGTCCTCCAAGGTATTCCAGGTACAGAGTATAACACGGACCACCAACCTCTGGGTCATCTTCTGTCCGCTTCATCGTGCAGTGAAGACGTTCGTTACCAGCTGTTGGGTAGCTGACAAAATCTCTCATATTGTTTGGGTCTGGGATAGGAGGCTTAATTAAATGAAGGAAGGAAAGAGAAAGTTTCCCATAGGTTATTGTTTGGGTTTTTTTCGGTGGTGACTTAATCGTAACACAACTAACTGAATTTGAATCCAGCTCTAACTTGGCAGGTCAAAGTTAGTACAGGCTACCGTGTGAGTTATGCAGGACCCACACACAAGACAGAGTGGCTGTGTGTTTTTATTTAGATCAAAAGCAGTTGTACACAGAAAAGTAAAATTAGTTAGATCAAAGAGGAAGGTTGGACCTGCGGTTAGAGTACTGAATCAAAAAACAAACCTGTATTCAAGTCCCAGCTCTACCACAGACTTCTCTTTTAACTTGGGTAATGTGGTCAAGTCTAAGCCTCAGAGTATCTTGACTCTTCTTGGCCCCCCAAGTGAACTTGGCTACTCAGGTTCCCATTCCTGGTTGGTATTGGTACATGCTATGCTACTATGATACAGTGCTGTCAGCTCTGAAAGAAGCTTGTACATCTTATATCACTTCCAAGCACATGACCCATCTTTCATAAGGGCCTATTTGTGTGCAATGTGGAGAAATATGAGCAGAAAGCTCAGGATGGGTTACTTTGCCCCGCTTCCAGCACACTATCTTAATCCATGAAGAGTCCTAAAGCAGTTGGACTGCTTTTGTCTAGGACAATATAGCCTATATGACACAAATACTATTAATGTGTATAAGTCAACACAGTTTCTTTCAAAATGAAAATACAAGGGAAAAAAAAGGGAAAAAGGAATGTCCTTAACCTGGTGAGATGGATATGGCCTGAAGAGAGATCTATCATGTAGTCCTCAAGCTGGAGGGGGAAGAAGAATGTATGCAGGTAAGAGGGTGCCTTCCCAGGCACTGGAGGCATGGCTGACAGTATAGGTGGGAGTATGTGGCTGGGGGGAGAGCCAGGGGAACAAAGCAGTGCTAAGGAGGCTCCAGAAACACCCATGAAACAGCAGGGGAATGTGGCTTCCAGGAACCCTGCTTCAGCCTCTCAGCTATGCAGCCCCGCAACTGCTTCCCACCCCAGCGACCCTTCTAGGAGGTGACAGAAGGGTTGTTGGCAGTGGCATGCCCCTGTACTGCCTCTGGCCCTCTGATCCCAGTCATGGCTCCCAGCACTGCTACAGCCAACTGCTGCCTTCATCCCATCCCATCCCCTGCCCTAACAAGCCAAGCTCTACAGAGCTGCAGGGGTGGCTCTGGGACAACATAGAAAGGATCCTGGGCAGAAGTAGGCGTGCTAGAAAGAGCCGAGACCCACTGGTCTGTTTAATGTTCTGCATCTTTGGAGATAGAGGAGTTATGGTTACAGCAAGACATTTATTCTTCTGTGGCAAATAAAATGTTCCACAGCAGCACAAATTGCCCTGATTAGCAGTATACAAATGGAACTGTGCTGAATCATTATTTTATAGGCATAATTTGTTCTCATTTAAGCTGGGCCAACTCCACTGATTTCAAATTAGTTATTCCAGCTTGGCATTGTTTTAACAAGGACCTGAAACTGGCTCAAGAGAATGGTGTAACACAGACACAAAAAATATGTAACAGAAAAATATATGTCTGAATATAGGGCATTTACCAGCTAATGCTCTGGTTTATAGGCTGTGACAAAAAGTTTGGAAATCCTGAGATGTGACCAAGGGCAAAACCATGAAACAAAGGGGTTGAGCAGATGGCGCTGCTTGTGGTACAGGAAAAGGCATAATATCTGGTTCATTTTCCCATAGCACTGTCAGAGCAGTAAGGTTAGCAGAAGTCACTGTCAGTAGAAATATTTGGGCAGCCACAGGTCTTAAGTATAACTTTCCTGGCAATATAACAACTAACGTTACAAGCAGGGAGGCAACAGTTTTACCAATGTGAATCTCTTGTATAACCGTGACACAGTATTATCATCAGCATAAGCTTCTTCAGAAGTCTTTGTAAGTCAACAGCATATTTTACCCTTGGGATGTCCTTGGAAAGGCCGTCCCCATAGAATAATACAGATCAGCATGTGTGAGCCCCCCTTTCAGATTTTAATAGGCACCAAATGGATCAGTGGGTTCTTGAAGAGGACAGGAATGACGCTTAATCAAGCTTTTAAAATGGTAATTATGGTAATTATAATATCTTATAATTTATCCATTGTCACTTAGAAGCAGCATGGAAGGGAGGAAGTCAAGTAACCCATTCCTCTTCCTCACACACACGTTTCTTTCCTTTTACCTTGATTGTTGGTGTGAAGGCAGTGGTGAGGTACGAGCAGAGCCGAGGGGGCAGGGTCAGTTTGCTGATATCCTTGTCATCCCGCAGACAGCTAGCGATGGTCTGCTGGCACAGCAGCTGCAGACTGGAGACCCTGTGCTCGACTCTGACAACATATAATGCAGGTCCAGAAGCCATGAGCAGGCGCGAATCCCTGTGACCCCAACAGATCGAGATGATGGGACGCTGCACGGAGAGGAAGAGGATACAACTTTAAAAGAGCATACACTTTCTCCAAGATAGTTGAACAGTAAGTGATCACATGAATTCAGCACCGATCATGTTACCCTAAGGCTTCCAAGAACTTAAACGCTATTGCCCGCAAGGGAGAAGAATGTGAACATCTGAAATTATCGGTAACAGTGGTTGATGTTTATACAGTGCTTTTTCCTCACAAGGCTTAAAGCTCTTTACACAGGGTATGGTCTACCAAATTCATTACCTAGGTAGGATCAGTGACTTTAAAGTCACACAGTGTTACATCACATCTTTTGATCCCCTATCCAGACGATCTCTTCTGTCATCTAATCAATCCTCATCCACTAGTAACGGCTCACATCTTACAATGGAGAAGTTAAATTATATGCCCAGAGACACTTAGTAAACTAGTGGATAAAACCCAACTGGCTTTGTTGTCTTGCACTGGGTCTTCTGCTGCACAGTGTCTCTTTTGAACTATTCCCAAAGAAACTGAGCAGTGAAAGAGCACCAGGAACAAAATGGAGAATGGCCCTTTGTCTTCTGCTTGTCTACATGCAGAAATGTCTAAATTCATGACAGTAAACCCAGAAAGAATTGGGGGTGACTGGTACTAAGTGTCAGAATGAGGAGCAGAGTAACAATAAACAAACGCTGCTTTGGACATTATTCCCTGCTGCACGAACATCAAAAGTTCACGTGAGAACACTGAGTTGTGCTTGCAAGGAGCTCTCTGAACTCTCTTCCTAAGCCCCATCTTTTTCATGTAAAGCACCCGTCTGTTGTGACCTCTTATAGCCCCAGCACTATTACTTTTGCTCTTCATGATCCTTAGCTGCATCCACCTGCCATTTCTTGCTTTCTGTGTTACAAAGCATCCGTATCTGCACATGTACAAACACTGTATGGAATTTCAATCCCATAGCTGCTATCTCTACACAAATAAACAACACAGAGTAAAGAAGAAACTCTCATGCCATGAAGAGTACTGTGCAGCAAGCTGTAATCAGTGAACTACAAAAGGTTTACTCCTTCCTGTGAAGGAGCCCCTTCTTTTCACAATCCGTGACACTCAAAAGTTTAAGCAAACATGTTTTTCATCTAAATTATGAACTGTATTTACTGAAAGGTCAGTGTCTCTTTGGAATATCTTTGCTCTTCACAGGATGCACCAAACTAGAATTAACTATACAGAAGACAAGGGTCAAGGCACTATCAGTAGTAATTTTTATCCACTCCTCTCTAGTAATATGGTACCCAGATACCTGGGTTAGATCAGCCCAGAAGTTACTAATCTAGGCTGGGAAAAAAAGCTTTCCCTTCAGTTACGAACTCAAGATGCTTAAAGGTGAGAAACTGGGACAAGATGTTTTTATGTAAATGATACAAAGCAGAATGCAACTGCACAGCACTGTATCAATGTCTATCATCAAGATAAAAGGTTGGACAAAACAACTTTTTCAGAGAAAAGATTTTCCCTACTATGTCATCTTATCCTAGATTTAAATTTCAAGGAAAATACTGGTTTTAAAGTGGGAGGAATGAAGAAGCTTCATTTTCATCACATCTAGGCAACACCACACACGCACACACACACACACTTCCACGGAGGCAAAAACCTTCAGGCTGACTGATATGCAAATGGAAAGCAGCAACATATGAACCTTGTGATTTTCACAGTAATTGCTAAAGGCATTTTGTAGTGGAGAACTTAAAAAGAATTGAGAAATCCTTTGTGTACCATCAGTAATTATTACATGGCTTGTCATAACCATAATCTGTGGGACAAAGCCTTAAATCTGATGAAAGAGCACATAAAGTATCCCTTACTGATTGGTATTTTCATGATTTGAGAGTGTGGCTCAGCCCTCATACTGTCTCGCAGTAATGAGACAGTTCAAGCTGCTTGCAAAATAAATGCAATCGAAAAGGCACTGACACAGGTTAGGTACCTGCCACATCTACTATACGACGGCCTGAGAAAGGCGCCAATAGAAGTGACCCTGATTACCCCAAGGGCTGAATTCCAGCATGGGCAGAACTATCTACCTGATCATTACTACGGGATCCAAACTGCATCCTTCTGTTCACCTTGCATCAACTCAAGCTTACCTATAAATACAGTGAAGGAACAAACAAGTATGTGACTTAGCACACAAATCTTTATTTATTAGATCGAGTTTAATGCCGGAAGAGAAGTCTAATATCCCAGCTATCATAATCCAATACAGCACACCCAGATAGCCCTACCATGAAGTCTACTATTGCAGCTATTATAACCCAATATATCACACCCAGATAGGCCTCTGTTCATCCAAATAGAGTCAAATGAAACCAATTCTCTCCTCAGGGTACCACTGCATGCAGAGAACAGTAAAAATGCAGACAGCACCAGTGCAAGGACCTTTGCAATCTTAAATGTATTCCCAAGCTTTGGAACGCTGGGTGGGACCTCTGGCGCGATGGAGCTGGGGAAGAGCAAAAAGTCAGAAGTCGAAAGACATTGCCTCGTTGCATGATTTCACCACAGTTTCCCAACAGGCAACCACAGTTCAGCCATCTTTTAAACTTCGGAATATCTGATTCCCTTATATTCTGTTTACGTATTTTTATGTAAACAGTATGTGAGTGGGCGCATGTTTAAATACATGCATACACACACAATGCCTACAAGTGTTGTATTGTTTGTAAATAATGACATTTCTGCTCCTACATTTGTACATTTAGTCTCCCCACACACCTCCCATGTTTCAATCTTAGTATTTTCAATCTCATCAAAGAGCGCATGTACCATACTGGTTTGTCTTTGCTAACTGATTCACCAGACACGCTTTGCCTTCCTTTTTTACGGAATGGTCAGTGCCCCAGTACTCCTCAAGCCTAATATCCAGCTACACCTCATTTACAGTGAAGGGCTAAGATTTAAGATAAGGTTCAGGGAAAATTAGCCTGTCATTACAGGCGTGGAGAAATAAAAGATCACCCAAATGCCAGATCTGACCTGACCTTTAAATGTACTGCTCCAATAATATTTTTCAATAACTATGCTCCCCACTCTTTTCCTTGAAGGACAAGGGATATGAATCAATTACTGCAGCAAGTCAGTTATGAGCTGGCTACAGCTTTCCTTCCAAACTTTGCTGAGAAAAAACAATTGAACTCCAACATCCACAGAATCACAGAATGGTTAGGGTTGGAAGTAACCTCTGGAGATCATCTAGTCCAACCCCCCCGCCAGAGCAGGGTCATCTACAACAGGTTGCACAGGACAAAAATATTGCAGAAGTATTGCTCCTCATAAAGCATCCACTTATTTGCATTGTTGTAGCAAAAAGAGGAAGGACAAAGGTTGTTGATAGCCATATTGTACCTGTTAGAAAATGAACAAGCAGATTCTATCACAGAAGAATTTCATTTTCCATGTGTGCATACTTGTTTTTTTTTCTTCTCAGAACAAGGAAAAGCAGCTACAAATATAACATCTAATGATAATTTCTAGTCTCACTTTGCATATAAAAAATCCCATCAGGTTTTGAAAAATTTCAGCACAAACTGTAAATACTTGAATGAATTCCAGGGTTTAAATACAAACATGTAGGAAAAAAAAAAATCCTGGAACACCCCTTGAACTTTTACATGTAGACAGGATTAGCTCTATGACAATTATACATTAGAAACAACAAAAAAATGAGATGTTTTATCAGGAGAAATATTGCCTGAAAACACATCTCAAAAAGTGGCCAAAATGGGTCTTTTGCCATTTTTTTCAGAGTGGGCTTGAAAGTCAGCTACATCTACTCAAATCTGTACCCCCAGCTGGGATGCTGACTCCCCTTAGAAAAGCACGTGAGAGTGGATATTCCTGCTCAAGCTCTGTGGTTGCTTCTTATAAGTCACTCATCTCTCTCTCTTACAGAAGAGCACATAATTTATATACCTTTCATCCCTTGTATGCTGTTCAGTCAATGAAAGCACTGTTCAAGCTGATTCTTGCTGCCTGCCTTGAGCTCAGAAATCCTGAGCGATGGGGCCTGCCGGCCGCTTGCACTAATCCCTTGTCTGCTGGCACTGGAAGTCCCACTGGTAATGAAATAAAAATGCTATTCCAGGGCAAAAAGCCCAGCAACAAGCAGGGTTTTCTCAGGAGAAAGAACCCAACTGCAAAGTAGTATCTAGTGAAGGGTATGTGTAAGTAAAACTCCAACATACATTGCCTGCTTTCTCTCACTTTAGACTGCTCATGTGGAGACACGCACTTTTCCCTCTGCTTTTTTCAGAGAGAATCTGGAAGGTGCAATGGCTGCAGTGCCCACCTGGCTCTTGTGAACTGTGTGTGCACATCTCCGTACTGCCACAGCATTCGTGGAGGGCTGCTGGAAAGTAATGTCACTTCTTCATTCTTCTGTTCCCCATATTTACAGTGGGAATAATATCAACTAGTAAGAATTGATGGTGATAAAAGCAATAAAGACTATGATGTGGTCAGAAATTACACTGCTGTGACCTTATATGATTTTTCATGTAGCAAATTCTCATTTGATTTGCAGATGTTTCTTATATCCTCTGTTTCTACAGTAATGTTTTTTTAAGATTTCAATACAATGATGAAATTCCATTTTAGCAGAATGAGTCTTTGCTTAGACAAGTGTCTCCATTTTTCAGTCCTGATCACAATCCACTTCTGCAGCAGTCAGAGATGGTCGTATGGCCTATACGGAAAATATCAAGGTCCTTATTGATATCCCAAAGAATGTTTCACCAGGTAGTTCTAAACTGTTGCTCGTTTCTCTTTCTGTAAGAAAATAAACTCTTCTTAAAGCTTTGTTCTCATCCGATAATAACTAAATAGGATTAATTTCAGGTGATATAAACGAAAGGCCACGGTAACTCGGAAGCAACAAACCTGAACAGTGTATGTGAAATAAACAAAGACAAAGTAAACAAGGTCAGCTTAGCTGGGTAACATAAAAGGTAGCCTCTTCTCTCAAAGCCCTTTGATCTGAATTTACCCTAAAACTGCACCCTCCTCCTCAGGCCTTCGTAAAATAGCTTTTACACAACTACCAGGTTTCTGCAGGATCACATCGTCTTAAATCTATCCATTCAGATGCTGGCACATTTCCAGCAGAGAAGCAGCCCGTGAGATGCTGTGAAAGCTGTTGCTGACAGCAGCAGGTTCAGAGCAAGTGGGTCTTCTCAAAGATTCCGGCAAACCTCTCCCATAAAGATTTAGCCTTTGGTACACCACTTTATATTAGGGTTTTAAAATATTATACTGATAAAAAAGCAATTACAGTTTTTCTGCATCTAATCTTGTTGCCTATACAACTGATTCTGGAACATGAGGGGCTCAGTTCACTCTTACCCTTCTTCTTCATTGCACTTAAGGTTTAAACTGTTCTTACAACAGTTACACAGTGGTATAAAATCATAGGACAACGTAAATTTGCTGTAGGATTATAGGCGTACAGATGAGATCAGCATCAGTGTTTCTAGATCCATGTTCTTCTTCCTCTAGTCCTCTCTGGGACATATAAAAAGGAAAATCATAAAAAGCAAATAAGGAACCAAAATATAAGCCACAACTTTGAACGATTAGACAGAAAAATTTCACAGGTCTGTGTAAGTTGGCAGTTAGGTAATTTTGAAGTGATCCTGTAGAAGACTCCTCTTTTTAAAGTTCAACTGGGGAGATGTGAAGCAGCTGTATCCAGTCAGAAGCAACAGCAGGTATCGCTAGTTGATATTATAAAGACCTGTCTGCACATCAGACAGGAAATTCTGAAGTGACAGAACAGGGTTGCAGCTTTTCCAGTAAACAATTTTAGCAAGACTGTAAAGCAGTCTTGAATGAGTTGATTCATCTCATCCCTGCTTGATGCCAGGGAAAGGTTGTGAGGATTTAACAAATAATGGAAGAAATTAACATTCTTCCAGTAAAAAATTATGACCAGCAGGGCAGCCTGCTGTTGTAATCACATTTTTAAATGTTGAAAAAGCAGGACCATGAAAAAACTGCCAGCTAAAACAACTGGGCGTATTTTTGGTACATCAGGTTGGTGTTCACGTAGATGAGGGCTAGTGTAGTAACAGCTAAGTTTTACAAAAAATGGTAGTATATTTTTGAATAATTATCAACTGATCAACAGCCTTTAAGATATGCTCTTTATATGAAATAAATAACCAGTATCAACTGTTTGGAGTCACAGCCTGGACCCAGTTTTCACAGAACTGCTTCCAATAAGATAAAAGTCTGGTGTGACTTTCTGAAGTCCCTTCTGAAATTTTTTCATCACTCTTTCGAGGTTCAAAACAGTTAGATCCTGTGTGGCAGAAGTTCAAGATTTGCCCAACCCTTATTTCAGCTCTTTCCACTATATTCTGCAAATATATTCTTGCAGCACATCAGGGTGGCAGGCTGAAGCCCCAGAGCAGGGAATGAGAGACTGTTACACTGTGCTAACTGTACCACTCTGTTTATGAATGTTATTTTTCATGCAAAGGTACTGCGTTCATTTGGATTTAGACAGAGGATGCCAAAACCATACTAAAGCTGGAGGAGAAGGTGGCGTATAAAACACCCTGAAGGGATCCATGACAACAGTCATCATCAAGATGAGTAACCCGCAGTACCCAGATCTATTCCACCTTGGGGTTTGCAGGGATTTTATGTTAGGTAACATTCCAAGCAAGTTGTATATAAACCCTACATCAGTTTTAGACTGAGTTTTGTTATAAGCAGTAAAATCTCTTCTTTCCTGAATATCCTACCAAAGACACTCAGGGCAGGCAAACCACAGAAACAAAGACAGTTCAGTATATCTTACTGATAAAATTTTCAGATGTCTGCTTTATCAAAGAACTGGAACAGAGGACCACATGGAAAATCAGTTTTGCACCTGTAATCCACTATTTTCTATGTTCATCGTTGCTTTACTTTTTTGACCTTTATCTTTGGAACAAGGCTTACTTAGAATAAATGTGCTTTTCCAGTCACGCAATTGCTTGCTTCAGAAGAAACAGTTTTAGCAGAAGAGTTCGAGATGAGGAAGTTCTTTTCTTTTCTCCAATTCTTTTCTTCAATAATCAGTATTTTATAAAATCCCATTAGAAGGCTGACTGTCATAGTACAGAAAACTAATGAAGTTCCTCTGATGAATTTGTCATCAGACAAATTACTGGGACCACTGACTCACTCTGTCATCTTTGCATATACACCTTGGGAGCAGAGGCACGGAACAACAAAAGTTACTAGCAATTTTTTTGCAACAGCAGTTTTTACCTGGTTTCAATAGTAAACCAAACACTTAGCAATGTTCTAGCATACCTGTCACTTAGCTGGTAATACCGTTAGGCCAGCATTCAAATACATAGAAGCATAAAGTCCACATGAGCAGATACAGGTGTCCTTCTGAAAGACCCCTCATTTCCTCCTGCAGCTGAGTAAATAGGAATTTAAATGCACTAAATAAAGAGAATAAACACTAACTAATGAGAGAAGAGCAGTGGCTCTGATTTTAGGCAGGTTTATGCACACAGCTTTTTAATAAACATAAATACATCAGTTTGAATGTTATTTTTACCCTGGCTTCCTAAGGAAATGAGACTCCATGATTGTGTTATTACTTGGCAGTTGCCACCCCCCCCCGCCTCCTTCACTTCCAACCTGAAGCTGTTGTATTTTTATCTGAAGTTGACAAAGGGGGAAGAAATCTCCAAGATGTTAAAATGCTGCAATTTCAGTGAAAATTAGCAGCTGGAAAGAGCAGAGAGCCTCATGTTAGTATTTTCACTATGAGAAATATGGCAGTATGAACTTGGCAGTTACCTGTTCTGCATGACCTGTCAGTTGTCCTATAAGTACTTATATAATGGCAGAATAATTAGCCCTCATGTCAGCCACAATATGTGCTTTCTCCCAGCTGATTAAGCAGAGGAGAAAGAAGAGCTGAAAATATGAAAATAAGTGGATGGGACACAGGGAGAGCTAGAGGAAACAAAGGTGTTTGAGGTGATTGGGAACAAAGTTGGTGAGAGAGCAGCAAGAGATGAGCCTGCACACGGGCACACTTTAAGGCAACCTGACCCCATCAGTTCCACTGCTCAAATCACAGCTTGATTTCACAACTCGACACCAGTGTGTTACACTGGTCAACTGCTAACGTGGACACACAGTATTCTGGTACTGAAGTAACAGAACGAGGTTTGGTTTTTACCTGGTCTGGGAATAAGCAACACTGGTATAAATATGTTTTCTCCAGAATCGATCCAGAGAAGAAAGGGCTGTGCTGCTTTGCTGAAAGGGCTATGTTTAAGACATAAAGCTGTGTGTACGGGTAAGTCCTTTAGACACCTAAATCAGCATTAGACGTCACTGTACGTATTTAGGTTGGCTTTAGAGAACATTATTTTATACATTACAAAACTAAAGAATTCTATCTAAATTAGAGTGCTACCGTTAATAAGCACAGGTTAATGCTAAATATAAGCAAACACAAAAGCTTAGCAGCTGGTTTACTACGTCATCCTTTTGTATCCATCCCAGATCAGGGTACTGAAAAAGAAATGATAATAAATGGTATCATCATTAATCATAAGTGAATATATATATATATAGCATTTTCCTCCACTTTCAGATTTCAAAGCTATTATAAATTAACTAAGTTTCACCAGTAACAGTCAGAAATCAGAACGGAGTCAGCCCTATTCTGCAGAAAATGAAATACACTGTAGAGTGACATTCAGCTGTGTTCTGAAATATCAGCGAAGACCTATGAAGCATGTTGTGCTCCTAAGCAGCACACAGACGATGTGTTGACATTTACTTGTCAACTAACCCGACCGAGGTTACAGTGAAAGTCTGTACAGAAGGTGGGAACAGAAACAAGACTTTCTGATTCATCCTTCTCCATCTGATGCCATAAAAAGTAGAACATTGCATCAGACCCACTGATTGTATCTTAGAAAATTACAGCAATAACAAAGAGAGAATAATCTTGTGGTTATGACATTGGACTTGGAATATTTTTGTCCAGTTCTTGGCTATGCTACAAAGTTGAGCAAGTTACTCAGTTTTTTCTCCTCAGTCAGTTATTCATAAAACAACAGAATTTCCTTTTCCTATCTTGTCTGTTCATGGCCCAACAATTTTGGGAAACAGACTGTTTCTCATATGTTTGCACAATACCTAATGCAGTGGGCCTTAGAATCAGATGCACTCTTGGATGTCTATCTTAATGCAAACAGTAATTATTTATAGTGCACTTTTATCTATATTGTATTTCATAATGTGTTCAGGACATTTTGTAAACCTTTTCACATTGCAGGTCTATACCAAAGAGCTGATGTGGGAAAAGCATGGCAGCAAAGCATTGAGAACTGACTTAAAAATACCTCCTACCTGTACAGGTGTCTCCAGAGTGTAGATATGTTCTCCACGCACATTGTAGAACTTGACAAGTGCGCTTTTCAACAGGGAACCATTGGTGAGGTCAACTAGCTGGCTTTGCTTCTCCATGCCTGCTACTGCAAGTAGGTCTCCTTGTGTACACCACTGTACCACCACATCTGAAATTGCAAAAGACAGTTTGCAATAATCACTGATCAGAATCAGTACGAACAGCGACTCCAGATGCTGCAAAGTGATTCGAACAGCTAAATCGTGCTCTCAAAAGTTACTTAAGAACTTAGAAAACTAAATCCTTTCATCGAAATAATAGCAAATATGCTGCATCTGCACTTCTGAGAATGAGTCTTTGGTTTTTATTTTGTAAATTGCAAAAAATATGTAAAACCCATTCTTTTTTCTCTATGGTGGTTACTCCTAAGTACAAGAATTTATTAGAGATATTAAAACTTATGTGGCAGATCCTATGCACATCTTTGGGGTAAATAACTGGAATTAAGCTAATACGCAGATAAATAACCTCAGTGACTAAGAGAGCAGCAGTAGAGAGCAGAGTATTTGTCTGGAAAGGCCTACAGAGCAAAAAAGCAGCATATTTGGCAATGCCTCATGTTCTCACTGCTGTGAATATAACTTTTGGTATCACTCAACCTAGAGTTATATTTTGGTATAACACCAAACTAGAAAGACTTTGGGATATTTGTCCATAAATACAGATGGCCTCCATGTCATAGGTTTTCTTTTGACACATGACTTGTGAAAATCTACTCATCTGTCTATCAGGAGATTGCCAGAAACACACAGGGACTGCTTAGTCTCTCATATACGTGGATATGAATACACATATCAGTTACTTCTCCTTCAGGCACCTCACGATGAGTAACGCCCACAGCTTAATTTGGGGATGCTAATTTCAAACCCTTATATCCTTCAGCTCTTTGTCACACTGCAACAAGAGCACTAAACCAGTATTTTGTGTTTCTGCTTGTGTTCTGGAGGCAGATTTGCATGTGCAAGGAATACTGAGCTAGTCTTTAAACCTTTTTACTCTTGAACCGGAGGTGAAAGGCAGCTATTTTGTGCTGAGACAAAGTGAAGGTAAAGACAAAACTTTTGTGCTCTGGGATGCTCAGTCTGCCAAGAACCTTTTGAAGACATTTGTGGGCGAGAAGCTGTCTTCAAATGAAGAAGCAGGAGAGAAATAGGAGTTGGCAGGAAGGATCTCAAAATTGTTTCAAGTTGTCAACTTGTCATTTTTAGGGACTTTTATGTGCAATTTAAAATGGGTTTGTATTATTTCAACTTTCTGATATTTCTCGTGGGAATTATGCTTCTGTACATATCAGAGGCAAGACACATGTTCCTCAAGATAATTTTTCCACAGCCAGGTATTATACGTCTCTTTTTTCCTCTAAGTCCTCAGCCCTGTAGGTAATCCACAAGGGGTTTTATTCATCTTTCTCAGAGAGTATAATGACAGGCAGATTAGAAATCAACGATGCAAGCTGATCAACTCCACTTTTGGTAACCGGTCTAACTACACTATTACCAAAGTGAATAAACAGTCTTCTTTGGATAAATGTCTTCAGGTAAAACTTTCAGTCGATCCCCATACCAAGAGGAAGAGGAGTGATTACTGTGTCCAGCAGCTTTCCCTCTCTCTCTCAAAACTCCTAGAATTAGGCTGCTGCAAAGGCAGCAAAGGTCTGGGTGTGGGCTACAGCATCCCCACGGCACAGTGTGTCTCTACAGCATGCTTGCACTGCCAACAGGGTCTTCAACGATTATCGAACCTTGACATAAAATAGCTTAACTGATAACTAGGTCTCAGCGCAAGCACCGAGATTAGAAATCAGATGGAGGCCTCATCTAAGGTAACAGTCTGCAAGTGAATCAGTGGATCAGAGTCATCACACTACTTGCCAGTCACTACAGGCATGTGAATACTCCCAGTAAAATGACAGCCATGCAAAGCCAGTAGGACAGCAAAAATATACTCGTGATGCTTGAAATAGTGTTATAGTTGCCTGCTTTAAAAACACATTGAGTAGCCTACAGCAGCCCCTAAAGACAAAGGCATCTGCTGCAGAGACCACAAAGCAATACTTGCAGATTTCAGACAGACACACATGAATTAAGACTCACACACAATACTGAAGACCATCCACTCTCAGCAGAATACCAAGTGGCTGGAGAGGATGGAGATCTTGAACTGGGTGGTTTTGCACATTCTTGCATGTGATAACAACCAGTAAAATTACAGTCACTTGAAAAAAAATTGATAAGAAGGTGCAGAAAATGTTTACATCTGCGTGACAGCTATATGCAAAATCCTTTCCACAGTACAACGTGTACCTTCAAAACAACAGTGATATCCCAATCACCTTTCTCTCTCTGTCTCATGCACACTCCCAGTCCAGCAAGATGTTGCACATTCTTCTTCTACTGATGTCAATGATGTTTACAATCATAAAAAATATTTCTACTGTATCTTGTACATTAATATTTTGCTAGAGGAGGGCAATGTAATTAAAGGATCTTTTTTCCATTAGTGAAAGTCAATGGGGAAAGAGAAACAGGACAGACATCCTCAGAAAGACAGAGCCCTGCAACTCCAAACAGAGAATAAGATGGAGTTTGTTTCTCCTACTGTTTCCAGCTGAAAGCTAGACTAGATGACAAATCAAGACAAGACTAATTCCTATCCTATTTACTGTAACTCTGTAGAGATGCTGGGAACACCCCTTCGTGGAGGGGGGTGTTTAGAGCTGCTCTAAATTGGTTCCAGTTTCCCAGACTTCAGACCTCCTTTCAGCTGAAGAAGTTTGCTGGACCACAGAGTTGCCCCAGGATGCTTCATTTGGCCAGCCATACGCTTCTTGTGTTGGCACAGACAGAAACAGGAGTGGAAAAGAAACCTCAAAGGTGATTTTTTAACCTGCTAAGACTACCCCATGTAGTGGATCAACCAAATACTATTGGGCTGGTGTTAGGGCAACTTTTCACCAAAAATGTCCCACTGTTACAGAACAGTTAAGAGTCTGCTCCAACAGCTTAATTTATTTTTTAAAAATCTAATATAAAACTAATTTATCTGTGGAGATGCAAAAGAATCAATGGAACCTATATTTAAGTATGTGCTTATGTGCCACAGGGAATTAAAACTCCTCTCCAGGCAAAGCACTGTAAATTGTACTGAGTGTTGGCAAACGAAGGGACTTTTTTGATAGGTAAGAACAGTAAAAATTTCAGTGTGAACTGAAGATTTTACATGGAATACTGATCCTATAAACATTCGTGCACATCACTTAGCAAGATGCATAGTAATTAACCAGTGGAATTTTCCTTCTCTCAGAATAACTTGTCTCGATAATTAATAGTTCTAGCAAGTTTTCAAAATTTGTGGGAGTCAAAGCAGCATTGCGATTCATACCTGGTTACCATAAGCATGGGAGCAGACCTTGTGAATTAAAGATGCAAAGGAAGTGTTATGTAGCAGAGGCATTCACACTAAGCAGCATAAACATATTAGCACATTCAGCTGAAAAAGAGCAAACAGATCAATTTGCTCTACAAAACTGCCATAAAAACATGATCTCGAAAATGGAAACATTTTTTCAAACACAAAAATTCCATCAGCCAAGTGCTGCTCTTCCACCAGCAGGTGTCACTGCTGGAAATGGCAACAACGGTGTTCGCGCGCTTCTGGATCCGGAGAGACAACCGCAAAAACATAACCTATACACACACATATCATTAAACATACAAGAATAACAGAGCATAGGAAGGGAGTGAAATGGCGTCCTTTTCTACCTTTCAACCCTGAGCGGATGATAGTAGGAGACAAGTCGTCATAATTGTTCATTAAGCTGATGTCTCCCGACGTGAAGCTGACAGTAAGTAGCGGCTTGGTGTTCTGCACCAGGACTGGATACGCAGCTGGTCCATCTGCAAAAACAAGGCTCTGGAGTGAGCAAAAGGCAAGCAACCAGAAGTATTTACACCCAGGCTGAAATACACTGTACTTCAGCCTACCACCATCAGGAGTGGTTCCAAGCCTCAAACTCCACCTGCTTATGTCTGCAATGTCTATAGGCAAAAGCAAAGCAGCTTTAGCTAGTTAGTTTGCCTGCTTTTGTGAAACCCCAATGTTTTTACTTCGTGATTTTTTACTGCAGTATATCCAAAGCGATTTATGCTTATGCTATTATGTTATACAGTGGTGGTTTTCCGTCTTCCTCCATTGTCAACTCCCCAAAGTGTCCCCAGGTTGAAAACCAGTGCTTTGGAAGGCTTCCTTGGGACCCAAGTTGAAAACCAGTGTTACAAGCAGTATAATCACATTAAAAGCTTTTTATTAGATACACCTTCTGCTTGGGCAAGTGCTGAGGACTCCTCCTGAAGTCACAGAGACATTGTAAGAACTCCTAAGAGAACATACTGACCTTTCACAAATTACTGTATTCTAAATGTTCAGAGCTAGGCAGCAGCATGAAAAGTTACCTGCCATCCTGTATAGCAGGATCCAAAGCACTCAAAGGTAGAGGTGAGCCCAAATGGAACACTTGGCTTTAAAAACCATTTCTGCAAAGTCTCTGCTCCTCTGGACTTGTTTTTCAGCATTCACTGAAATTCCCTCGCTCAAACACTTCATGACCAACACTACCATCTGTAGCATTCGCTGTTTAACTTTTTGTTTACAATTTCTGACAGGAGATGCTGCTCGCCCCTGATAAAGTGCTTCTCAAGGCCCAGCCCGCATCTTTTCAGTCAACAAAAATGGCAGAGCCAGTTAAGAGTGGTATTGCTTCCCAAACTTGTAAAAAAGCTAATCAGAAAGCATTTTGGAGAAAGATGTCTAGTAATTAGCATCTCTGTGTGTATATAATTTAATAAGAAAAACTCATCAAACTTCCAGTCCTTCCTACACATCTGTGTGAGTCAAAGGTTTGTCACCTTTGAGAGGTTTATGCTGCATCTGCTCTAAAGAAAACACATCATGTTTGGGTAATCATTAAAATAGGCTTGTAGGCTCGTAATGAGTCCACCCACCCACTGATTGACTCATAAACAGCTAGTGCATTCGGATCATTTAAGTTCTCATCTGTGTACTCTGCAACTTCACCATCCTCTGACTGGAATCTCAGTATTTAAAAAAAAAAAACCAAACGTGAAAAAAAACCGAAAAAAACAATTTAATGTTGTTCTCCATCTTGCTTTAGAAGCTTGCTAGGAAATGTGAAGTTTGTTTCTTTTCTCCTAAGGTAAGAAATCTCCCCCAGTACCAAAAGTGAGATATGAAAGCCAAAAGAAAACTGAGTTTTAAAAGATGCTAACATCTTACCAGATGATCACATTCTCTTCTATCATTATTTGTTAAATATATATGCTTATTATGTTGACATATACACACAATTCTGGAAAAGGTAGATTTTTTGACTGAATCCAAATTAGAGTTAAAACTGCAAGAGTTCTCAATTCATTGGTTCAGTTGATCTGAGATGCAAATTCAGAATTATTTCTAGCTATAATGTTTTTAAATTTTTCATTGTACAATCACTGCTATATTAATTTACTTCTTAATTTAGTTCAGACTTTATACACTGGAATACAGAAGCAGCTTACCTAGATCTTATAGACTAATCAACAGCATTAACAAGGAAGAAGTATTAGCATTACTTGAATAAGAAGGATACGGTTGACTGCATGGATACCTAGGCCTCCTAGGTCTTTGCTATTGATGATTTCCAAAGAGTTTAAAACCAAAGCATTTCACCCAATGAGTTGTATTTATACTTAAGGGTAGGGAAGGATTTCTTCCTGACCCTCAAACTGCCCATGTGCTCTGAAGCATAGAAATTAGTAACTCCAGACAGCTTCAGTCATTGTTCTTCTACCGTGTGAAATCACAGGAAATATTTTCCTTTTCAATCCTTCTACGGAATTTATCAAGCTCTTTATGTCAGTACTATCAAGGATGGGACTATAATGATGAGCATTACAGAATTCCTATGAAACAGAGATAAAATTAAAGATGTAGTACTTTCCTCTATGTCTAGTACTGGTATCTTTTCCACATGAATGTATATAATAACACATTAGCTTCTGTGACTGCACTCTGATTACGTCCATACATATGGACCATTGCAATACCTACATCTGCTTATGAGTGAAACCTGATATGCCCCTGTATAGTGTTTTTCACTCACCCTCACTAACCAGCTTTGTGTTTTTATCTCCTTCATGCAAACAGAGACAGAGCAGCACAGATGAGGCATGCCCTGCAGCAAGCTGTGTAGTGAGGCTGGTGGCAGAGCTGGGAATAAACCCACTCCCCTGTACCAGACCTCTGCTCCATCCCCCACGCTACCTCCACAGGAATGCACCATCTTTTGGCCTCTATCAGCTTGAAAACACAGCCATCCTATTGTTTCAGTACAGTGTGACCATTCCCTGGTGTCTGAGATATCTTCGTAAGTGTTTGCAAACCTGCAACAGAAGGACAAGAACACAGCACTACCTTGTGGTGGGGAATAGTCATCGGAGTCCGTGTCGCTCTCGCTGCTGTCCTCCACCAGGAAGCTGGGGTAGTTCCAGGACATGCTGAGGATGCCATCTGACTCGTGAAGGAGTACGTGGGCCAGCATGCGGCCATGGCAGTCCATGACAATAACCTGTCCATCAGCAGTGCCAAAAAGTACCTGAAAATAACCGAACAGCCCTCAGTCCCTCCAATGTCAGCCACTGGAGCCTCCTTCAAACGCACCTGGCAATTAACTAGCTACACTGGAAATTAATTGAAAGCAAAGCAGTCAGGGATGTGAAATGGTGCCACAACAGGACACCACAACCAAAGATATATACAAAGAATGAAGTTAAAACACCAGGGTCTAGAGGTAAATTCCTAAAATCTGTGAGCAAGTAATGTTTCATGGTGTGGTGCATTTTGTTCACTTTAATATGAGCCATTACACTTTATTTGAAGTTGGCTGTTACTACCACCAAAGTGAACTGGCAGAAGGGCTACCACAGCTTCTGCAGTATTCGTGGATTATACAAAAACTTCTAAATTCGGTGGCAGAAACCAAGGTAGGCATCAATCATAACAGTATCAAAAGGCATAGCTTACAAAAATGAGGTCCTAGCAGAGATTTCAATCAGCTTATAAGAAATAGAACGCTGAATAGAGGAGGATAGGTTATTCAGTTGATGAGCTGAGAGAAGGTGGGAGAATGTCTTCCAAAAACAGAGGCAAAACCCAGTATGATCAATCAACTGGAAGTAGATTATTATAGCCCAAGAGGAAGGGAATATATTACACATTCAGGAAGAGATGAAGAAGAGCTTCTACCCACCATTTCAAATACAAAATGGATAACGCAAGTTTTTTTCTTGCCCTTAAACTACTCCATAGCCAATGTGTGCTGACTGAATTCAGACTGACTGGAACCTACAGTTTCTTTTTTTATAAGCTTTTTCTGTCTTGAGGCTTTAAGCAAGTTAAGACCCTGCATATTTGATGAACTTTAGAAAAACATCAGGAAATAAGGATTAATAAACCCACAAAACAATAAATGCATTAGCCAAGGCTGCTGCTGCTATCGTGTAATTCCATATGAGGCAAATACATTTTAAAGCAAGTTTAAAGGCACCCATCATCTTGAAAACTAGCCAGCATTAGAAATGAAGCTAAAAGGAAGGATAAATCTTATATCTGCCCTTCAGTCTACTCCCTATTATCACTGCATGCAAATTTAAGATTCTAATAATTATATTCCCAGATCAAAAACTCATCTAGCCTTGTATCTTACCTCTAACAGTGGTCAAGTGTTTGGGGAAGGGTAAGAGAACAGGATGCTCTAAACAGGCACATCCCCTGCACACTCATGCAATTTCCAGCAAAAAATACTGCCTCTTTGATAATTGATAATTTCACTTGGTAACCTTTACCTCTTAAGAGTAAAAGGAATACAGAACAATTGTTCCCTACCTACATTCTCAACATTGGTCACCATTTTATAGACCTCTCTTATCTAATCCCTTAGTCATTTCTTTTCCAAGCTGAAGAATCGTAGCCTACTTAGGATCTCCCTGTACAGTTGTTGCTCAAAGCCTCAGACCACCCTTGTTGACCTCTGCTGTCAGAGGTCTTCCTTTCTGTCCTTCTACCTAGGTGTCGTGCCAGACTTGCAGCATTCAAACTGTGTATTATATCAGACTTACACAATAGTACTCACCTAGGAAGCAATTGTCATGGTTGCACTTTTGAAAGTTTCAGAAAAGAAGTGTGGCTTCAAAGGTCTCAGGCAAAAATAAGAAGTACTAAAATTTTTTCTATGATCACTGTGATAATCAGGAAACACCGAAGGTTGTAAACTAGAATAGCAGTTTAAGAGAGGAACTTCAGTGAAGTCATTAAAATATTAAGAAAATCAATGGAGTTGTTTCACATTATCAGAAGCAATGAAAAAAACAGTACTGGCTGCCTTAACTGTAGTCATTATATGTTACAAACAGTTTTGTGTTTAAGTTTGCTACAAGCCTCAGATTGCTATTCTTAGATATAACTGCAGGAACTCAACCTTTGTTCATCTCACACTCCCTTCTCTTGTGGTCCTTTATTCTACTCTTCTTCCGCTTGTATCATGCCATCTCCTTACACACTATTCATTATTTCAATTGTTTTTACATGCATAATCAGTGCACAGCCACTTTCACTATCTACTTTTGGAACATAGCCACCCTCTTTCAGATCTCTACAAAACAAACTTCTACAAAGCCCAAACCCTACCGATTGTCATTGCTAGCTTCTCACACCACTTTCAGCCTACTCTATAGATTAGCTTTTTACCAGTCTCCTAGGAGTTTTGTAACCGCAGAACACCCAGACAGAGGAGATTAAACGCTCTATTGTTTCTGAAAATAGCAGTATAAGAGTTTTGCCTCCTAAAACCCTGCAGAAACACTTCATAATTGAGTAAGAACAAAATGTTGGGACTCATCAGCCAGAGTTCAGTCTCATCTCAACCTAAAGCTAATTCTTTCAAGTAGCACTGCCCTCAATTCATTTAAAATTACCAAGTCCTACAGTAATTTGCAATTCAGATCAGAACAGCTGCATGTGGGCATCTTAATTCTTGCACTGGAACCTGAGAGAGCTCTTTAGCAACCTAGAAATGTCAGAGGGCACTTGTCACTTCTTTAACCAGGCTATAGGTTTCAAGGAGCAGCTTTAAGTTTCAGGGTTATTGTAGCTATACAACCTTTAAGATAGAAGCATTTATCAGGCTGATAGTCCTGCTGGCTGCACTCCTGCTGAAGCTGTAAAAATGTCTAAAGGTGTTATCGTCCATAACATTACTCAAGTTATAAATGCCACACTCAAGCTACTTATATCAGATGAATAAAACTCTCTTGACCTTCAGAAAAAAGGTTAAGCCACAGGGTATGCCTGAAGGATCCAGTGGAGAAATTAAAAGGTTGGATTTTAGCTGTCTACATTCATATTTTTCTGTTATTTGCATACCTAGGAGGTCTGAGGGAACGTTGGAAAAAAGTAATGAACAAGTTATAGTGGCTTGTTAACCCTTGAATACAAAACCTAAGTGATAATAATAGTAATTAAAAAAAAATCCCAAGTACTTATTTTGAAGTGGTTATTTGGCCCCTTGTTCTGTTCTTCTTCTCTTGTCTCATCTCCTCTCCTTTCATACTGTTCATTATTTAAACTGTTTTTACATGCATTACCACTTGTAGGATTGCATTTGTAGAATTATTCATAATCTGATAACAAAATACCTAAAATCACTCGTATGTTCGAAGTGTAAGTCAGTTACACAACATAAATACAGTATTTCTTTACAAAACATATCGAACATAAGGAACCCCACACTACAGTGAAGCTGTAGCTGATTAGAAGTTATACAAACGTGGAGCAGTCTCTAATGGTACCCTGATGCTGTACTCTTTCACGGGAAAACTGTGATAAACAGCATTATGATAATGCACACACAGTTTTCTAAGCATACCAGGGGCTGAAAGTTGGGTTCACTCCTGAAACACAAGTGTCTGATTTCTCCATGAAACCCAAGCTTGGGGTGATTCCTACTTATTATAACAAATTTGAATACCTGAAAAAACCCCTTCTCTGAAATGTGCTGACCTCTTAGCCTCTGTGGTAACTTGCGATGAGTTTTACAAGCTAGTTTTGGTAAATAAAAAGGTTTTTCATCAGTTTTTACACTATTATCCATGTAATTATCCTTCAAGATTGCAATCCCTTTAAATGCCCAAGACTTCAGAGAGTCTTCAATTTTCAGTCTGAAATGCACCAATTCCCAGAAGACACGTGGTAATCAAAAGATGGGGTATTCTGCTCTGAATTTATTTTTTCACAAAGAGGTGAATATTAGAACAGCCAAGAAGCTAAAAAATTCAGTCCAAGAGGAAGAACTTGAACCTGTTCAGTGACTTTGCTACATGTGGATCTGTTGTGCTGCACTGTTGCTATTTCCATGAGATCTGTTGTGATGCTGGAATGCGTCTAGACCAGATACAGTACTAGCACCAACTGGTTTGGCAGCACCAAGATCGACAGAGCTACAGTGGAGCAACCACAACCTGGCGCACTGAAGGTCCAGCTCAGGAGGCCCAGTACTTAGTAAATTATAGTTCTCTTACGAACAGTGATGTTATTTTTGCACAAAATATATTTTGTTGGTATTTAATTTGGTTTAATGTATGCAAACTGAATTAATCAACAGTAAGAATGCCCCAGATTTATGCTAACTTGTATACACTAGCCCAGTAGGAAAGCGGCAGATCCCACCATCTCACCACATCTGATTATAGGCAGCAGCTGAGGGAAGTCTATAAATCATAACAATTTCATTAAGTCAATGAAGCGGCACTGACTTAGATCTGCAGGGAACCTACCTACTGTCCATTCCTACCTCCTAGCCTGTCCTCATTGTTGAAGAAGCTTTCCAGAACTACAGTCACTTTGACTTTTATAATAACCGAGGATAATCCAATCCCAGAAATAATGTATTCAATGACTTGATGTATATATGAGGGGCAAAAGAAAGAATTATTCCCAATGTCTTTTTTTTTTTTTGTAGAAACCAAATAGTCAATACTTTTGCAGAAAGACATCGACAAAATAAGATGCTCCCTTCATGACATTTAGTAGCAACACTGAGGGTTTCTAACATTGCTGGTTAAACAAAACTCCCAGGAAATCTCATCAACACATTTTTGGAACACAGGCTGTCATTCTGCATCAGGGCAACAACCGTGCCTTTGACTGAAGCTCAAGTTGAAGTATTAGAAGCAGAACTTGCTGTAGATACTGCAAGCTACTAGAGATTACTTCAGCATAGCACTTTTAAAGTGAGAGATTCCATTATTGTGATCCAAGGAGGTCGGAAAAGGAACATGTGCTTTACTCATGTTGGCCCAGGATTTTTACAAGAACCTCTTTGCCTTTTTACAAAGAATGTACATCTGATAACTGAGGGAAGCAAAACAATTCACAGACTCAGTGAATTAAAACAGCATTGAAAATGGATCTAGTAAACTCCGTCCTACTATAATTTGATTACTTAAAAAACAAAATTTTCACAGAAAGACAGAACTTGCTTTGTTGGACTATGCATGGTGCATTAACAGTTTGCATTTAAATTCTTGGATACACTGAAAT